AAAAAAAAAACAGAAAAAAAGCCGGAGGTGGCGCTGTGGCTCAAGTGGTAGAGCACTAGCCTTGAGCTGAAGAGCTGAGGGACAGCGCCCAGGCCCAGAGTTCAGGCCCCACTACTGGACCCAAAAAAGAAAAAAAAAACTTCAGTAACAATCTTATGGAACAAAAATCCTTTCAGCATCAGAATATAGATATTGAAGTACATATGATTAAAAAGATCAGAAAAGCATGTTAAAATTTAGGAATTCATATTTTAAAAGTTTTGGCTTTGCCTAAGTTTTAATTTTATGTGAACATGATACATATGGTTTGAAGAGCCTTCTCATAGACTATTACTGGTGTAACTCAACCACGAATCATTTTTTACTTAATATCAATATTGCAGTTACATTTCCATTAAGAAATTTACAATAGCTGGGGATGAGAGTACTGGTACCTATTCATCACTAGTGTATATGGGGAAGTACTTGAGAACACTCAGAAAGCTGCTGATCTTTGAGGCTGAGGGTGCCAAAATTAGCAATGGACCAGGGAACCACCAGAATGAAGTGAAATTCTATCATGAAGCATATTTGAAAAAGCAAGGTGTATAGATTTGGCAAATGAGGTCTAGAACTTGATTTTGCAGAGTACTTATAGAGGCCAGAGGCAGGAACTGTGGTGAAAGAAAGAACAGGGCCTCAGAACATATTAACTGGAGTTTCAGCTATGAGTATAGCATTATGGAATATCATGAGCAGAAGTAGCACAACAACAGAGGTAGGTTGCATGTGTAAAGCAAGGTCAGAAGGAAAGAAGCACAAAACATAATTAACAATTGACTCAATATTAAGCAGATTTGCGGTCTGGCCAAGCGAGAGTCCTAGAGAACACATGGCACATAGGCACTGGGAAAGTTCTTCTTGACATTTGGCCACAAGGCAGTGGCAGCATTACTCATCAAGAGATAATGGTTAGAGAAATTATGGTATATATTATGATATGCACACACATGCACACACACATTGGAGCAAAATTCAGCCACAAGGAAGAAGGAAGTTATGTCATTTACAGGGAAGTAGATGGAAATCAATGTTGGCACATTAAGTAAGATAAGGTAGACTCGGACATAAATTATACATTTTCTCTTATGTGAAATAGCTAGAACTAAAAATACAAACAAAAACATAAAAGCAAAAAGGACATTTTTGGAAAGTGAGGGGACCATAGATGATTTTTGAGGAGAACAAGACCACAGTTCATTGTATACATGTATAAAAATGCTCTTAATGAAACATTATTTTGTACAATAAAGATATACAAATAAAATTTTATTTAGAGATAAAAGGATTTTGTATTGCTGCTTAACTGATTGAAATTTGAGATATGCCTTTTGAAATATAACATGACTTTTCTGAGAGATTTCTTTTAGATAACAAATAAAGGGTTTTTAAAATTTTATTTATGTTATTTGAACTCTGGAAGATCACATGATAACTGAAGAGCAAACACATGTATGTGTATAAATAATAACCAGTGAAGTAAAAAATGTGGGGGAATAATCCATTATTAAAGATATTGGTATTATTTGAGTCTCTTCTATTCATTTCACTTACACAATGAGATAATAAACCATTCATTTTTTAAAGGAGACCATTCTGTGTGTGGTATCAATGAAGGCTTTCTTCACTTGCTGATTCCGCAATGTATAGATAAAGGGGTTCAAAAGTGGAGCAACTGAGGTATTGAGTACTGAAATTCCTTTGGAAAAAGATACTCTTTGTTTGACTGATGGCTTGACATACATGAAGATACAGCTACCGTACGATAAGGCTAGCACAATCATGTGAGAAGAGCAGGTGGAAAATGCTTTTTTCCTCTGGCTAGTGGAAGGAATCTTTAGAATCGTAAGGGCAATAAAAGTATAGGATATTATCACCATTACCAATGTCACCAAGAGTGTCACCAAAGCTGAGACAAACCCCATCATCTCTATGAGCTGTGTGTCTGTGCAGGAGATCTGGAGGAGAGGCGTAGTGTCACAGTAGAAATGATCAACAACATTGGAGGCACAGAACTCAAGATTCAGGCCTAACAGGAGTGGTGGAAAGATCACAAAGAAGCCAGCAAGCCAAGAGCTGAGGACAAGTTGTGTGCAAAGTTTGTTGCTCATGATGGTGGTATAATGCAAGGGCTTACAGATGGCTACATACCGGTCATAGGACATAGCTGCCAGCAGATAAAACTCGGATGCTCCAAGTAGGAAGGCAAAAAACACTTGAGTGATACAACAGTTATAGGAAATAGTTTTGTCCCCTGTTGCCATAGAAACTAGGCATTTAGGGATGCATGTTGTCGTGTAGGAAATCTCTAAGAAGGAGAAATTCCTAAGGAAAAAATACATGGGGGTCTTCAGATGAATATCCACCAGGGTGAGTGCGATGATGATGAGATTGCCCGTGATGCTTAGCAAATAGGTCAGAAGCAGGAAGATAAACAGCACAACTTTCAATTCTGGTTTATCAGTCAAACCTTCAAGGATGAACATTGTTATTCGTGTATAGTTTCCCATTATGACCACTGACTTTTACTAGGTCTGAAGAGAGGGAAAAAACGTTACCTCTGCAGCACAATAGCAATGAAAAGCAATATGAAGCGAATATCAATATCAAAATCTGGATGCTTCAGAGAGTGCACTCCATTCCCCATTCATGTTTTTAAAATGGCCATACCAGGAATGACATAGCTCATATTTGCAGATCATCATCAATTTGCAATTCAACTGGATAATAATCTATGTAATGATAACAACTTTTCATTATTTAAGTGTGAATAAATTACATGGAAATAAAGGAACTCAAGACAGGGAAGGATACTTCTTTCTTTAAGAAAATACACAAGGGACAGCATTCCATTCTTTTTACATTTAAAGAAAATGAATTGAACAAAATGAGTGAAATTTTCACAGAATAAAATTATATCTTCCATTTTAAACATAAGTGTATATTGCCTTGCATTGGACACACATGTCATACACACACACACATACACACATAGCTCTCTGCAATATACAAAATTAGTACACTGTGGCAATTTTACTCAACTAATCAAAATAAAATGCCTTATTCATGTTTCATCACTTTCAAGGCTGACATCCAATTTTAAGAAGGTGAAAAGGAAGAATACCATACAATTCCAATTACCACTGGAATTCTTTCTACCCAATAATCCAGCATCTTTAATATCAAATCAATATTAACAATCTGTTAACATCAGTGATTACAAAAAAATCGAATGAATTTTTTTCATAGTTCTTAGTAAGATCAAGTAAAGTGGATTTGGAGATATAGGAACATAAACAACATAAATAAACAAATGTAGGGTTTTGGAGGTTTTATTAGGTGAAAGGAATAAAGAAAAAAGCGATGTGGAAATCTAGAGAGATAAGGAATTTTAGAGATGGGATAAAGAGTTTGAAGAAAAACTTAAAACAAAGATAAGTATGTGTAAATTTGTTATTAAGCTAAGGGAGACAATGTTCGCTGTAATTTTTATTTTGCCATCCAGTCCTGGTTGCTCTACTTACATTATTATTCTTTGCTTAGGGACTGAAAATATAAATTTTGAATTTTGAGTTCTGCATGACCTAAAAAGATGATTATTTCATGAATTTGAAAAGCATAATGACATAGCTAAGATATGGAACCAACCCAAATGCTCCTCAATAGATGAATGGCTCAAGAAAATGTGATACACACCACACACACACACACACACACACACACACACACACACAAACAATGGAATGACACTGCCCCATTTGTAAGGAAATGGAAGGATTTGGCAAAAAAATCATATTAAGTGAAGTAAGCTTGACCCAAAGAAGCATAGGTCTCATGGTTTTCCTTATTTGTAGTAAATAGTATGTGTCTGGGATAATCTTAGCAGATGAGCAGAATAACTCTGTACATATGACCATATAAGATGATGCTAAGTGAAATGAACTTCAAGACATGGACACAAGAGGTTTTTCTTTGTTGTAGTTTTTAATGTACTATGTGATTTCTTTTTTCTTTTGTGCTTTTTTTTCCTCTGTGGTTTATCCCCTGTTGTCACTGTATTTGATTTTGGTACCCTGGATATTGTATATATGTTTATCTGAACTAGGGAAGGGAAGGGGAACAAAAAATGGTGAGACACTATGTTGGAAATGATCTGTGCAATTTGAAGGGAGTAAGGAGGGAGGGAAAGTGGGAGAAATATGAGGGAGGGATAACAAGTTCAACAGAAAATGTAATTACTACCTTACACATATAACTGTAACCCCTATGTATATCACCTTGACAATAAAATTTAAATTAAAAAATCAAAAGCAAAATGAATAGCACTGGTCCAAATTTAGGTAGCATATATCTCCTTACCATAGAATATTGAAATGTCCAGCTGACATGCAATCAAAGAGATCTTACCAAGTAGATAATGTTTTTTAAGTTCAGTGTACATTCAGTAAGAAAGTGAAATGAGATTTGCATAGCTAATAAACTGGAAGTCTAATATTAAGATTAACAATGTCTCTGGGGACAAGTTTCTTCCTGAGTATCTTAAGTGCATACAATACTACAACTTTATAATTGGAATGGCATTATATGACAATGTTTTTTGCCTTAATAATACCAAGATAATTATCTACAATCTTTTTTTTAATTTAATTTTATTTTATTTGTGAACATACTGTACAGAGGGGTTACAATTACATGGGCAGGATAATGCATACATATCTTACCAAGCATTGCTGCCTCCTCTTTTGTTTACCCTTCACATCCCTTCCCAGATTATCTACAATCTTTAAAGCACATATTATTGTTAAAAAGCATGTAATAACTAGAAAGAGATATGTAAGGATAAGTGGAACTTCTGTCCAATAACATCTAGGAAAGCTTATTGGAGACAATTTAGATTCTGTGATAAGTATTAGAGACAGAAACAGAAACTGGGAAAGACCTTTGTAAAAGCAGAAGCACAGTAAAGGGCACAAACTGAACTACACCAGAAACAATGAGTAGAGTTTTTCTGTTAAAAACCATGTAGCTAACATGAGTATAAAAGAGCAAGAAGTACTTACTGTTATTGTCATAGGGCCTAGCTTTCTCATTTGGAAAATCATGATGCCAATTCTTAGAATATTTTCCTTATTTACGTAAATTATCCCAATGGTAACAACAACTGTGGGAAGCACATCTTAAAAGCAAATAAAATTCACATTAGGTGAACACATTGGCTCTGTTACTTACAATGAATATCAGATTAATTTAATCTGATTATTTAATAAGATTATTGACCTTAAACTAATTTATTAGCCAAAAGAGATTAAAAACAAAAAGTTTTTGATTCTAAGTTGTCATAGAAGCAAATGATCTTTTTTTCAATTTTCTTGAATTAAAAATGATAAAGGCTAAAGACAAATGCAATGATGCTTTAATGGTAGAGGTAAAACAACTGTGAATTGCAATATATTTAAGGCGAACCATTTATCACTACTAAAAATGTTATTTACATCTGTTTAGATCCTACATGATGTGCCAATTAAATGTTTGAATTTATAGGCAAACATTTATTTGAATCCTAAAAATATCTAAAGGTATGTTACCAACACAGATTCTGTCAGAGAATTGCTGTCATTGACATGTAGCATTATGTTAACTCTAACAATTGTACAGAACTGAGCACACCGCCCCTCCATTCCTCTCTGAATAACCTTTTCTGTAAACCCCAATTTCTGATGGTTTTGTCTCACTTACCAGCAGCACTCTTAGAAATGACTTGGTTAACTGGTTTACTGCAGGTAGATTATGAAGTCTCATTTAAGATAACTTGTGCATTGATGGAATCATTTTCTGGATGTTATCCATACTCCCTATAACATGAACCATTCTGGGTCTTAGGGAGGTTTTGTGCTATCTGTGCTCTGAATAAAAAATATCTAAAGCTGCCAAAGAAGTCTCAGCAGGATTCAAGATCCTCAAACACCATTTCCCAAAGCACCACCAATTTTTGCATCCTGTAAATGTTCTCCCCAGGTACTCCACATTTTTACAAAAACAAAATATACATGAAAACGGAAACTGCTTTAAATGATGTCTCTTGAGTGTACAATATGGATTGCCAAATATAATCAATCATTCAGAACATAAATTGATCAGTAGACTTCAGGCCTCCCAACCCAGTAACTCAGTGTTGGAGGAGGGATTGAATACAGTGGACCAAATTGGTCTGGTTCTTCAGGTCAACAGCCAAGTACTATTGTCTATCTCAGTCTGTGACTGAGTGAGGTAGGGGAAGGAAGCTTGGATCAGTGTGTGGGAACCATAAAGGAAGCTTTTATGTCCTTTGCCATCCTAACAGACTGTTAAGCTGGATGGGTGAAATGAAAGAAAACAAGAGAATATGTCAAACAATAATATCTGAAACCCTCCATTATTACTTCTGATACCCCAGCAGTGAGTGGATAATAAATACTATCAAGAAAATTATTGTCAAAATTTAATAACTTAAATGAAACGAATCAGTTTCTTGAAAAATAAAGATCACTAAAACATACACAAGGAGAAATCAACACTATAAATAGCCCAATAATTTCCAGAGATGAATAAGTTGAGTGAATAAGTAATCATCTATTTCTCAAAATTTTCATTTGTGTTGGCTGAAATACTTGTCCATCACTGCAGCCAAATACCTGGCAAAAACAACTTGAGCAAGGGGAGATGGCTTTAGAAGTTTCAGTCCATGATTATGTGGACACATGTGTTTAGGCAGAATGTCATGATGGTTTTCCTGGCTACAGGTTTATCAATTTTAGAAATCCATTTAAAGATTTCAATTCTGGTTTTATTGATTATATCGTTTTTCTGTTTTCATTTCTACTCTACTTTCTCATTTTTTTTGTGAAAATACCATACAGAGGGGTTACAATTACATGGGCAAGGTAATGAGTACATTTCTTATCAAGCATTGTTGCCTCCTCCTTTGTTTCCCCTTCTCATTCCTGCCCTCCCATCTCTACCCCCCCACCCAAAGTTGTAAGGTTCGTTTTTCTACATAACGTCTTCTGCATCTCATTCTTGCAATGGGTCCACCTGTATCCCTACTTAAGCAATTTGTTTTTTCACTTCCTGTCCACAAATTATACCAACATCAAATACAGTGAAAATAAGGGTGATACCATGGAGGAGGGACATACAAAGCAACAAAGAAATCATCTTGTAAATATGTTAGAAACAATCACAATAAAGAAAAAAATAGGAAGTGGCACTGTAGCTCAAGTGGTAGAGAGCTCTCCTTGAGCTGAAGAGCTGAGGGACAGCACCCAGGCCCAGAGTTCAAGCCCCACGACCAACCAAAAAAAAAAAAAAAAGAAGAAGAAAAACATTTGAATCCTTGTTTTGGGGTTCATTTTGCCTAACATCAACTTATCTGGCCTTTTCTGCTTGTCTCAGACATATACTAATAATTGCAAATAAGGGAAACCCGGGACTTATGTTTCTTTGGGCCTGGCTTTCTTCACTTAATATAATT